GGCTTTGATGGTAATTTCAGTTCATATGACATTATACTCCATCTGAAGGAAATAGAAGCAGCAGCTTTTGAAGTTTTCCAAATTATCAGATTCTTCTAAGAACATCCACAAAACAAACACTTCCACTTGTCAACAGAAAGAAAATTGAGTGACCAATTACTAAATAATCACACACATAAGGGGTCTTTCCTGGGGTTTTCAGCCTCAAAAAGGATTTCACTCTGAGTATGACGAACAACAAAAACTCTTATTAGAAAGTTAGTGGGAGTTGTGAATTATCAGCATCTCTTGAGTCAAGCCACTGAGCTATGAGAATTCATTGTCATCTCACAACGATTCACTGTTTAATTGTTTAACATGTATTACCTACGATATCCAAATTACTTCCTGTATAAAAAGTCCCATCAACTTTCATTATGCATCAGCTACTTATAGCAGGTAGTGTGGTGCACTGGATACGACACTGGATTAGAAGTCAGAAGACCTGGCTAGTATTCCCAAATTCTGCTACTGCCCTACTGTGTAACCTTGGGAAAGTCACCTCACACCTCCCTGTGCCTCAGCAGCCCCATCTGTAAAAGGGGACTAATAGTACTTACCTTCCTTTCTAAAACACTTTGAGATAAGAACATAAGAATGGCCATAGTGGGTCAGACCAATGGTCCACCTAAGCCTGTATTTTAGGGTAATTTTGTACAGTCTACAAACTTTGCAACCTCACTGTTTACCCCTTTTCCCAGACCAGTTAGCAATATGTTGAGCAGCTCTGTTCCCAGTGCAAATCCTTCAGGGACCCTCCTATTTACCGCTCTCCATATGAAAACTGACCATTTATTCTTTCCCTTTGTTTTCTATCTTTTAACTAGTTACTGATCCTTGAGAGGACCTTCCCTCTTATCCCATGACTCCTTACTTTGCTTAAGAGCCTTTGGTGAGGGACCTTGTCAAAGGCTCTCTGAAAGTCTGAGTTCACTATATCCACTGGATCACCTTTGTCCACATGCTTGTTGACTCTTCTCAAAGAATTCTAATAGACTGGTGAGGCATGATTTCTTTTTATAAAAGCCATAATGACTCTTCCCCAACATATCATGTTTATCTGTGTCTAATAATTCTGTGCTTTGCTGTGGTTTCAACCAATTTGCCTGGTACTGAAGTTAGGCTTACTGGCCTGTAACGGCAAGGATCACCTCTGAAGCCTTTTTTAAAAAAAATCAGTGTCACATTAGCTATCCATCAGTCATTTGGCACAGAGGCTGATTTAAGAGATAGGTTACATACAATACTTAGTAGTTCTGTAATTTCACATTTGAGTTCCTTCAGAACTCTTAGGTGAATACCATCTGGTCCTGGTAACTTCTTATTGTTTAGTTTATCAATTTGTTCCCAAACCTCCTCTACTGACACCTCAATCTAGAACAGTTCTGGGACAAAGTATCTTCATTAATATCAACTTCTTTCTGGCATAGAACAGTATTGCATAGCACTGACAGTATGAAGCTGCTAAAACTAACATGCCGCAAAATATGCAAAAGAAAGCAAGTAATTGCCAAAACATGACCTTGGAAACAGTCTATGGAATTTACAGGGAGAACTGACCCCAAGTTTTTTTTAATTAAAACAGAAAAAAGTGATTTATTAATAGTCTTCTAGGCATGTTTCTGAATGCTTACCTTAAAGTTATTACTAAGAATCAATAACAAGAAATTTTTATGTTGTAAAATGATCCAGTGATCAGATGAGGAATTCACGATAAAAAGGACTCCTGATTTTGTGTGAGAGACATAGGAATGGGGGTAGTGTGTAATTATTTTGTAATATGCACATACATACACACACGTGTACAAAACACATACACACACCAATAAACAATAGGGTATGATGTCTTCATTGGATTGTTAGCACAGCCAATTTGTTTTTTAAACTCAAAGATCTTCCTTTGCTACATAAATGAACACAGCTGCCATGCAGCTCTCATGCAAAACAAGGAAGAGGGAGAATAGTTGCTTTTGGACCAAAAACTAAGAAAATGAACTCAACTGGTGATGGGGTTTGTTAATGTGCTATCTTTTAAGCTGTTTAAACAACAAAAACAAATTAAACCTCTGAGAAAGAGTTTTAAGCCATTAGAAACCCGGGCAAGTATTTCTGAAATTTGTCACAAATACACATACACACATACTTATATTTTTACCTGTCCAGCATTTTAGTGCTGGCTCGTTCTAACTTTTCCAAAATCTGAGGAAGTTGTGTGTCATCATCACATGACCCTCCCCAACCAAGGACACGGGCAAGATCATTTCCAGTACCAAGGGGAAGCACTCCCAGCTGACACTGAAATACAGCAAAAGAACAAATCTTTTTTTTGCAAATAAAAGAACTGGAAGCATGAACTAACACGTGGTGGGCAAACTTTTTGGCCCGAGGGCCACATCTGGGTGGGGAAATTGCAGGCAGGGCCATGAATGTATACCTGGGGCAGGGGGTTGGGGTACGATGTGCAGGAAGGGGCTTGGGGCAGGGGGTTGGGGCAGAGGAGGGGTGCGTGCAGGAGGGGGCTCAGGGCAGGGGGTTGGGGTACAGGGGGGGTGCAAGTACAACAGGAGGCTCAGGGCAGGGGGTTGAGGTGCAGGCGGGGGGCTCAGGGCAGGGGGTTGGGGTACAGGGGGGGTGCAAGTACAACAGGAGGCTCAGGGCAGGGGGTTGAGGTGCAGGCGGGGGGCTCAGGGCAGGGGGTTGGGGTACAGGGGGGGTGCAAGTACAACAGGAGGCTCAGGGCAGGGGGTT